TAGACTTTTTCTCACCGTAATTGAATTTTCTTACGAATCTAAAAATTTTCTTATTTTAAAAACTGAAAAGAATTTAATCACCATTAATCGTTCAATTACATTTGCGAGAGCAAGTGTCTTGTAATCGGGAACTAGACTTTTTCTCACCGTAATTAAATTGTCTTAAGTTGCTTTATTAGTGAACCATGGCAACTTCCTTCCCACTTGGCCTCAAGGTATCACAGTTGCCTTTGTACCCTAAGGTCTTGGGTTCGAATCTTGTCCGGACTTTTTTTTCATTTTGTACGAAAATGAAAAAAGTCCGGCTAAAATTAAATGGTCGGACTTTCATTTGTCTGTTTCTGTTTTGTCGGCTAAGTTGCCACGTCGGGGAATTTCCTTGTGCTGTTCCCAATTTTCATCCCAAAGGCAAGTGTTTTTGATTTACTCATGTAATTTGTGAAAAGGCTGAAATAGATCAACACTTTTCAATCATTTTTTTTCCAATTTTCTTGTTTTTTTTCCACTTTCTCTAATGTCTCTTGGGTATCTTCTTCTTTTCATTTGTTTTAACAATTGGGTCGAAATAACTGTCCACTTTCTCTAATGTCTCTTGGGTATCTTCTTCTTTTCATTTGTTTTAACAATTGGGTCGAAATGCCCTTTTTATCTGTTCGTTGATTTTCGCTGATTTTACTCGATGCGCTATTGTAGCATGTTAAGGCCTACGTTTTGCTTGTTAAGGCCTAGGGCCTAGATTAGCCTAAAATTTGAGTCAAGTTTTTGAAATTTGTTCAATCTCTTCTTAATTTATCCTTATTTTACGTAAAATATTTATTCCTTCCTGTGATGCACCACGTCTCAGCCTCGCCTCTGTCTAAAAAGTTTATCACTTTCACTAATCATGTGCTGTAGCTTTTTAAGGGTTTTTTCGGTGGCGGACCAATTAGCGTACAACTGGCTTTAAATTCTCAAAAATGACATGAAAATTGTGTCACCCAGTACCCTTTAACTTATTACACAAGAGAAGCGTAGTGCCATACTGCGAACTTCGCTTTTTTTTCCAACCGACGTCTCAAATAAAAGTTCTCATTTTTTGGTGGCACTTCCGCAGCAATAATATTATATCTGGTGCTGCATAGCAATATGTCTTTGGATTCGTGTTATTGGTGGCTAGTGTTGAAGGATTGACACGTTCATGGCCAGGATGCTACGAAGTTTGACTCCGAAGCTTGGCGTCTGTGTTTGAAAACTGGACGATTTGCCATGCTCTGTTCCATAGTATGAGACAGTGATTATAAGCATCTTCAGCAAATAAAAACACAACCACAGCTAAAATTTTGACTATGCACTGTAAATGGTTAAGACATGTTTGACAAACTTAGTTTCACAACAATCAGCTGAAGCATCGTAAAATTTTTGCCGGATAATAAACACAGAATCAAAAACAAAAGTTAAAGTTAGCATGCTAAATAGATACGATTTTTTAAAATCTAGATTAGAGCATGCCTAGTTATTTTTTTTTGATAAGAATTAGGTTTATGTAAAGTGACATCTAGTAATTTAATCAAAAGGAAAGGGTCCGCGATCAATCAACACAATTGCCGAATTGCAATTTGAGTTCCAAATAACTTAGCCAACAATTGTCTCTTTTCTAGAGAATCTTAATTATCGAATTACCCACAGTAATTCCGCTCAATCACTCAGTCCGACCGACTAAAATCAATAGTGTCGCTAAGGATCACTATTCTTTTGAGGTACTTTGACTGATCTCTTTACCTCGCAATTCCTGATTCTCTAACTATTGAGAACCCAAATAATCTCACTACTAGTTATCTCTCTTTAGCAATTATTGTTCTAACTAACTGAGAACCAACCGTTCGCTCTCACAGCACAATTGTTCTGCCTAAGGGTAGGCTACTTGCTATTCTCTATAATATTTGTCTTTTTGAGTTTTAGTTCTAGTTAGAGTTATGTCGACCCTACAAGTCCTGACATTTACTTTGGTACCCATTTCGCAAGGTCTTAACTGAATTTTTCCTCTGTCGCCACTAGTCTTTAAGTTCCAAGTTCATTATAGGCATCTCTAACTAAGTTGTGCAAATATCAAGTCCAATTTCACCTCCAAACCGAGTTATGTTTAATTAACCAATTGTTTACTCTGCTACTTATCGTATTGATTTGTCAATACCGAGTTACGTAGTATTCATTAGGTCTCACATACTACCATTCTCTTAATACATTCATTAATATGGACTACCAAATCTAAATTGAAATTCTTGCGTACCATAAGGGTAACCCTCTTTACCGGTCTTCGCCCGAAACGTACATAAGTAAGTCTAGAATTGACAATTCTACAGTTGTGTCATAAATGTGTATGTGAGCTACTCTTAATTTTTTTTTCATCTATGCTAGTATGAATCTCTCGTGTCTGTGTATGTGTGTGTGTGTGTGTGTGTGTGTTTGTGTGTTTGTAAGCGTGTGTGGATTCATTAAATACTCTACTCCGCGAAAAAGTGGAGTCACATGTGGTCTACGTTTCTTTCGCAGTTCAGTTTAATCATCTAGTTAGAATTAAACAAATGCATATTTTTTGTTTAATTTAGTCGTTTTCGCTTTTCAATAAGACTTGCAATAATCATTGTTGCTGAAACTTGACTGAAAATTGTTGAAATTGTTACTGAAAGTACTAAAATTGAGAAAAGTTGAACTTCTAATAATAGCGCTTTTCGGTTAAATGCGGGGATTCTTAAAATACGAAAACAGAAAACCAAATGCTAAAATCTGATTGGTTGAATTTAAATACAACAGTAGCGCGTAGTTTGAGCAGCTCGTACAGTTAGAAAACGATGCGCTGTTAAGTTATTTTGGGCGGAATGAGAAAAAAAAGACCCAAATGTCGAATAGTTTTTGACTTTATTGAGGACTCAAAGGCAAAAGACTCGAGATATTTTGGCTAGCAAAGCGTGCCCTCCTCTTGGCTAGAACTGTTATAAATATTTTGTGTGTGCGAGTGGAATTGCTTGCTCTGAACTACTTAGAGTCGGACGAAAACAATTGAATTTCTTTGTATAGACTATGCCCATCGTGTGCAGAAATGGTATGGTTTTAAGTTTTTTTAATTTAATTTTTTAGGCTTTCTAGTGAAGGTTATTACACAAGGGAAGCGTAGTGTCATACTACCAACCTCGCTTTTTCCAATCCATGTCGCAATTAAAATTGCTTATTTATTTGGTGGCTCTTTCGCTGCACTAAAATTATATCTGGTTTACTTTGCTGCATATCATTGTATCATTGCATCTTTTTTATTGGTGGCTAGTGTTAGAAGATAGACAAGTTCATGCCTCAGAGGGACGTGCGACTCTGAAGTTTGGCTTCTTTATTTTAAAAGTAGACGATTTGCCTTGCTCTGTTCCTTAGTCTGAGACAGTGATTATAAGCATAGAAATACAGCCCACCTGCGTTTCAGACTATTTTTAACCATCTAAAATTTTGACTATGCCTTTGTAGATGGGTAAGATTGAGCTCATTCGTTTTGGAGAAAACTGGTATGTGAAGTCAGTGAGATCTATGTTACCTTCATTTTCATTTGATGGCCACAAATAAAAACGTGCATCTTTTTTTTACTAAGTTAATTCATTTACACTTTCAATTAAGACCTCCGATAACCAATATTAATTGATCTTTTTGCTGCATTGAGATAATTTGTATAACTTCAAATAATTATTAGAACTATTTTCTTAAATACAGAATCATTCTTCACAATGCATCATTATTGATTCATCAAATTGAAGAATATGAAGTGGTATCAAATATCAATTGATCAAGGTTTTACTGAATGAAAGTGAAAGTTAAAAAAGAATAGATCTTTCCAATTAAAGTAAGATATTCATTAAGTTTTTAGATATATTTGTAATTTTAAATGACCTGAGAGTGCTGGGTAGATGGAGCCGGTGTTCAAGAACGCAAACATTAACATTGAAGCGCTAGTTATGTGAAAGGTAAACCATATCTTAGTTTTCACCCTTGCTTGTAGGCAAGTTTATTGCAATCGGTAACTAGACTTTTTTCCCTTAATCAACTTGTTCACGGGACTCAATTCTGGACTGCTTCACATCTTCTTCCGCTTTGTAATTCCTACTCCTCTTTATTGCAAATTTTAAGCATGGTTGAATTTTATTTTAAATATCCGCTCTTTTCAACATTTGCTTTATGTTGGTTAAGATTTTTACAACTCGATTTAATAAAAAAAATTTTTTTTCTGTGTTCTTTTTTTCGGCCTATTTTACATCACCATAGTGGCCTTCCTAGTTTTGAGTAGTTTCAAGGGAAACATAACTTTCACGCTCACGTGTGGATTGCACAAAATGCTGAAAATTCTAATAGAAATCGATGGGTTTCGGCCTATAATATATTGGCTCAATGGCCTCATATTGCATCTTTCGGCGAGCGCAAAAAGTTTTCTGTGTGGGTGTCTGTTTTGAGGCCGAGGGGATCATAATAGCTTCTTATTAGTCTTAAAACTTTTTGAATTGTTTTGTGTTTTTTCTTTTCGTTGTCTTTGGGCTTGATAGGTTTAGCCTGTATTACATTAGTTTAGTCGCCTCATATTACGTCGTTTCACGAGCTGTGTCTGTGTTTTGTGGGTGAGGGGACTTAATAACTTTTTATTGGTCAAAAATTTTCGGCTTTATTTTTATTTTCCTTTTTTTTCGGACTGACGGGTTTCTGCTAATGTATTTCCGGCTTTTTTACAGCTTAATAACTTTTTTATTTCGATGCTAGTTTCACATTCGTTTGTCTTGGCTTATTTTTGTTTCAAAACTAGTCTGATCGATAGTAATTTTTTTTCGATGTTAAACAATTCCGTTAAACAATTCTCTGTTAAACAATTCCGTTTTTAAATCAACATGCCAAAAAAGCTTAAAAGACAAATATTTTGCCAGCAAATTGAGCTCTCTTCTCAGCCTCTATTGAAAGTGTGGCTGTTTTTTTTTTCTCACAATCTGTCTTATCTGTTTTTAACTGCTCGCTTCCCTTAGTGATTTTTTCCGGCGCTTCAGATTTTACTTTGTAGGCTGATCGGAAGGTCTAGTTGTAAGCGGTAAACTGTATTTTACATTGTTATTGAAACTGGGGCGTTTTGGGTTTCAATTTTTCGTTCTAAAATTATTTATAAAGTTGAAATAACAATAATTAATTGAGAGAAATCTGCCACTTTGTCCAAATTGCTTAAGCTACAGCGCAATGATTAAAGAGAATTTGTTTTCTCGTGGTTCAATGGTCTTAAACTTCAATGGTTCAATGGAAAAAAAATGGTCTCCAGCTGACGTTCTGCTTGCAAAGTAACTGGGCGCGCTGTTATGTCGTATTGTAGTAAAATAGTAAATCACTCATTTTTTAGTAACTGTTAGTTGTGATTCAGTTGGTTATTCTTCGTGTTATTCACAATGAAGTTTTAAATCTGTGTTTGCTTCTAGTCTTTTGTCTACTATTTTCATCTTTCTGCCAAGTGATTTTTCTGCCAAATGACTTCAGTGCGACCAATCTGAAACAATGCAAAAATTTTGCCACCTTTTTGTTGGCAACTGAAATTCTGGATGTTAATTATGCTCCCCTATTGCAAACAAGAGGAGGGATTGTAGGATTAGATGATGGGTGTGGCAGAGGATATTCGTTACAAAATGGACGGTAGAAAGTTCATGTTTGCTGAATTTGATGAGTTTTGATAGGGGTGGAAGTTCTGAAATTCTTAACTCGGTTCTATAAGGGGGATATTTAAGAAGATCCGAAGTTCCATTCTGCTTTTTTTCTTTCGGAGGGTAGTTTTGATATACTTAGACTTTTGATATCCACGAAAGATAGCTCATTGTCACGAAAGAACATAAGCAGGCTGACTTTCCGCATGCTAAATTTTTGACAGTTTCTGTTTTAGTTTGTCTAGAAGCCTGCGCAGTTTTACTATAATTGCGACTTGCTTTTTTGAGGCTTTTTAAGCCAGTTCTTTTGAATCAAATTTCAGTGCTCGTAACTCTAGTATGAGGCAACCTTTCTCAGCCCAGAAATTAAACAATAAATACAATTAATTCTTAACCCGGGAAGGGAATCAGTGGTTATCTGCGAAGAGCTGAGCAGCTCGTTTGTTATTTTATGTTAAGTTGGTCGATTTCCTCACGAGTTATCATTTAAAACAAAGTATAGTTTGCCGGAAATTTTTATTCAACGTGGATGTCCTTGTGTTGTGTTTATATGGTGATAATCAACGGTGAAAGGAAGCGATAAAAAAAACCGGTAATTTGTTCTAAATCGGATGTGGGACTTGTTTCATACATCCCTTTGTGTGTAATATCAACCCAATCCGGCCTCTCACTCAAATCTTTATATCTTTGTCCACTCCTGGAACTATTCCCGTATGAGTCATTATGACCCGGGTATCTCAACCCGCTCCAATGTAGATTCTTTTCCGGGGAGTCGTCTCCTCTAAGCAGGTTTTCACTCTACTCAACTGCCGCAGAGTTTCTCCCCTTTATACCGTGTAATGGTGGGGGACACTAAGACACGATATGATCCACAATCCCGAAAAGGTTATGTTGGTGGTCAGACTAAATCGGCCGATCAAAGGATTACGCAACTTCCCCCTTAATTTAGGTTCTTTTCGGCTCTCCTCTCACGCTTTTAGCTAGTTCAGCAAATCGTGGGTACAATAAGTAAATTCTCAATCGCAAAGGAAATAAAACAATTTACAGTGCCCTTAATGTGCTAACTACTATTTAGCAACTTCTATATTGAAGCCCGCGTCCCGTTCCGTTCAATCACTCGTAAATGTTCGGTTGACTCTATTCAAAACTCGCCTACTCTAGCAGAGCAGCGACGCAACTAGTTCAACCCGGTACTAAACTCGGGTTCCAGCGCAACTCGCTCGCACAGTCTCAACCCGGTACTAAACTCGGGTTCCCGCGCAACTCGCTCGCACAACTGTCTCAACCCAGTACTAAACTCGGGTTCCAGAGCAACTCGCTCGCACAACTGTCTCAACCCGATACTAAACTCGGGTTCCAGCGCAACTCGCTCACTAGCAATAATTGTTCTCTTCTCTGATTGAGAACCCATTACCCTTAGTAGTAGCTAACACTGTTCTCTAAGTAACTGAGAACCCACTACTCTCTCTAGTAGTTATCACTGTTCTGCCAGTTCGGTGGTTGTACCTTAATCGCGTATCGTTATCTTTATTTACTTTCGGTTCGGTCAGAGGCGTACCGTTCCCTATCCCTACTAACATTCACTTAACTAGCTGCCACTCAGGACTTATCAGCTGAATCAACCATTAGGTCAGCTTTAATTTAACATCGGGGTGCCACTTAGTTAATCAGGACATACTGAGCAAACATTGGGTTCAACTACAAAATCAGCTCCCAAGAGTATTTGACAAATGACCCCTTGCATGACTTTATTTTAGTTCTTCCTAACTTTTTCCCTTTCCTATGAATTGGGTAGTTCTCCCGCAACCGGTAATTTAACTTCCGTGATACTTGAAAAAATTCCATTTTTGGTCATTTTAAATTTTATTCCCTTAAGTCCAAGGGCTGGGTAATTCCCTTCCCCGTGTCCGTTTTGATCCGAAAAAACACCACAAGAATTTGTTTAATATGCTGGGACTGTTCATAAAATCTTCATCTCGAAATTCCTAATTCCCCCCATAGATGTTATCAATTTTTGTACGGGGCTGTATTTTTTTTGTTTGTCGCTCTTATCGAAAGTCCAAGTGGAGTGGGTTAAGCTGACCACAATGTTTGCTAATTATAGAAAATCACTTTCGCTGGGGTACAAAGGTCAAAACTAAAAACTCTCTATTTAGGGGCCTCCCCTTACCTCCCCAGGTGGGTAGGTACCCATTACGGGTCCTTACAATGCTAATTTATTGCTTTTCATGGGGTTCCGGGGTCTTGCAGTCAAAAATGCCAAATGACCTCTTAGAGGTCATCCGAGGTCAAATGTCTTATTTTCGATGGGAGATCATTCTCACTAAGTTTCCTTCATATCGGACCATCCCTTCCCATACTTTCGAAAATATTGGGTCAATTAACACTTTTCCCTAAAATTGCCATTTTTCACCTCATAGGAAGTTCCGGAGAGGATTGGGTCACAAGATGCCCACCTACTGGGTTGGGCCCCCCTTCACATTGGTGCATTAAAATCACCAGTCAATTATCACTATCAGGTGTTAATAGCCTTATTCAATTTTCAAGTGCTAATAGCTTCCGACGTAGCCGCCGGATTGGGACCAAACATTGATACATTATAGGTCTTACCCCAACCTACCATCCTCCCAAGTTTCAGCCTCCTAGCATTATCAGGGGTCGAGAAATAACAAAAAGTGGGTTTTGTTTACAGGGCGTAAAACCGGAAGTAATAACCGGATGCGTTCAAAATCCCTGTAGTGATCTTCCCTCGCCTAGGGCTACAATATATTGCATTATGAAGTCATTCTGACCATTAGTTATCGGTTTACAAAAAGTGCTAATTGCATTTTCGGAAATCATTATCACTCGCCCCCCAGGGGTCTGGAACTTTGCATGCCCGGTTAAAATCATCTCTATTAGTCACCCACCAATTTTCATAAGGATCGGACCAGTGGTTCCCAATCCGGGGGGGGGGGGGGGTTTCCAGATTTTTAGCGCTTTTCCGATTCTTCGCCCTAGAGGTCAAATTCAAGGTGCAGGTTCCGATTACGATTGTTTGCTCTCAAACTAAGCATCATGAATTACCAATTTTACACTCAGGTTTCTATAGCATGTAATACAGTAGAATCACCAATTCTATAATCTTCCCGTCTAATCTATTATTCTCCCGAATAATGCTAATGACAAAACTTTTTACCGTTTTTCGACTAAGACAAATAGCCAATCTAACACCTCAACTCGCCTCTTTGTCTAATATCTAATCCCTCTTTTGACACCAATTTTTTTCCTTAACTGGAGTTTCGCTTTTTTTTCTGCTATACTACACCGCCTTGTACTACTCTCCAATTATAGTTCCCTATAGACCCGGTACATGCACCATTGTGTACGTGTTGTGACGCAGCGAACCGCAGGCTTCAGTTTCCGTAGACTCTTACATAATCAATTTATCTATGTTAGCACCAAGGGTTGCTTCCTTGAGTGAAGCAACTAAGAGTCTAAGAAAGATTTTTAAGGCGGTGTGAAATACCTCCACCATTCTATCGAAACAATAAATTATACTACCAAGATTTTCACTGAGTTTCTATCCGTCTTACTGTTGGAGATGTTTCTAAAGCACTTATAAATATCGCAAATGGGATGAGAATGTGAGAGAGGGAGAAAGAGTTTTCAGGTTTACTCACTGAACTGAACTGAACCCCGTACTAGTTCACCAACCTCTTGTTTCAAGTCTCTTTCATCGCTCCTCCTGTCGTTTCCATCTGTCTACGAGGTGCCGGTAGTCCTGCTGCGGCACAGTCCAGTTATCCGACTCCCCCATAGCATCTGGGGGACGCCAACACTGCTTCGGGACCTCGCCCTCTGATGCGGCCGAGCTCCGGTCAACTTCATCTTCACCGAACAAAGACAGCTTTTTCCATCGATCGATCAAATTGTGGAAGTAGGCGGCCTTTACATCTCCAGGCCCCACTTCCCTTCTACTGCCAAGCCACTCTCGGTCATCGTTTGTTCGGAATCGCTTGGATGACCTACGGGAACCTTCTGATCTGCTACCCGCAAGCAGATTTTGACGTTCGTCCCATACTTTCCTAGACTTTCTGTGTTTGCACGTCGTTTCCGTCATCTCTTGGCACATTTCAGCCCAAGTAGTTTTCGTTTCGTCCATGTTAGTGTCATCTGGCCTTTGCACGGTTGCAATCATCATCTGTTCTTCCGCAGAGGCATCGTCCCCACTTCTCAGAAAACCATCTGCAGTCTCGTCCTCGTCAAAACTCAACTCATCATCGTCAGTCCCGTCTAAGGAGCCTTTCGTTTTTTCATCGTTCCCGCCCGGAGCAATCGTTACTTCTCTTCTCCCCCGTCCAAGCATCGCGACTACGCTTCGCGTGCCGTTTGTGTGTGACAGTAAGAATGTAATTGGGCGACTCAAAATTGGAAAGAAACGGGGAAATAATCCAATTCCACGCGTTGACTCCCCCACTTCAATCATTTTCCCACTCGTAACTTTGCCGCCTATTACCACAGCATTCTCTTCACTATGCTCATCGACCGATTTCTCATTTTGTCCCATCTCCGTCGGTAGACGCGTTCCATTGAGTTGTCGTCGGGTTCGCAATTCCCCAGATCACCTTCTCTCAAAGAGCCATGACTCATTCCCTTACACTCGTTTTCCTGACCGCTACTTTCGGAAACTTCGATGTCTATTCGCTCGGTGAACTCGTCAACCATCGCCGATTCGCCAATTCTGATCTCAGTCATTTCTGTGCCAGGTCCCGCACCCTCGTGATAAACCAGCACCGTGTCACAGGAGTCTGTAGTCGCATCTGCATGGGCGCATACTCTTCCTGAATCTATTCCACGTCGGATTTGA